GAACTTCAACTCTCAGATGTTGCCAAAATCTCTATAACCACAAAATACTTGCAGATAATCAAGCCATACCCCCAACCAAACCTTTTTCCCTCCCCCCTCCAAGTCTTTTACTTATTGGAATTTCCTTCTACTCCATTGCCAAACCTGGAATCATGAGAGCGATTTTTGACAGCTCCCGCTCCCTCATCTTCCCACATTCACTCTCACCAAGTACTAGCATTTCCATATTCTAAATGTTTTTGGAATCTTTCCTTTCTGTGCCAGACACAAACTTCATGTGCTTCATCAAATTCCTTCCAATGCTTCCGTCGGCTCCAACAGCATCCCAGCCCCAACCAATCACCTGTCCTTGAAGTGCAAAACACACAGCAGAGTCAACTACCTGCCGGCCTAGAGAGTTAGGATCTCTACCACTTCCAGACTTGGAACAGCACACTATGGAATGTGGGATTTGGTATCTTACAGGGATGCCCTGGTGCAGGGGGCAGGTAACACAACTCAGTAATGTGTAGTGCTAACTCCATGAGGTGATAACAGGTGATGGGGGGGATCTAAACAGATCAATTTGCCTTTCTTCATTTCTTCATGGGCTACCCATAAGCACAGTTTTTCCTTGTGCCCTGTTTGGAGAAGTTCAGTGTGCTGAGCAGTGCACCTGCCAGCTGACCTGCTATGTATGTCCTTCCCAGTGTATTGAATTGGCAGCCATCACGGTTAAGATATCCCTTGTCATCCCTTCACATCTAACCATCGTGGTAATTCATCACTACATATTATATGGAGCCTGGCATGTAATAAGCACTTAATAATGGACACAATTATTATGCTATGATATTATGTAACCAAAATAGGCAATGCTATTGTTCTTTTCATTTCTTATGAAGTCAGACCATTGTCTAAAAAACTACATTCATTGTGTTTCAACCAATTTGAATCCATTTTGTTAAATATAAACCAAACATAACTTTCATAGACAAAGTCTGGAAGAAGAAAACAATACGGCCATAGTAACCTATTTGTGGTGTGATTCTTTGTTTTTGTTGTTTTTTAAAATACGCTTTTCTAAAATGTACACATTTTCTGCAACATATATTCCATCCACTATCAAAATAAACTTTAAAACATCTGTTGTTATGAAAGCAGTAAGATTAATAAATGATAAATAACAGCATGAATAAACAGCAAGAATGATCAAGTCCAACCTTACTTGTTTAATGAAATGGTTGACACCCAGGAGAGCTTGTGCAACCTTATTCCAAGTTTCTGTAAGAATAGTTAGATCTGAAATGAGCCTACTACAACCAGGAACTTGAGGACCCCAGGTTGGAAAATCCTAAAGTGTTTGAAATCGAACATCTTAAAAGGATTTAAGCCCTGTCCTTATTAATGGAAAACCAATCCCACCCTATTAAAAGCCAATTAGGCATCTCTGCGCCATTTCTAACATTTTCTTTGGAAATACATGTAGAGCCTCAAGAAAGTGGTTATTTTTGTTTTTGTTTTTTGAAAAGTTTGACCTACTTTGATAATGATATTCCTAAGCCTGTCCAGATGTTTGAAGTCAATAAAACTACCAAGCTTATTAAATAGGCTCCCGCTCACATTTCTCAAGACACAAGCCTGAAGCTCAGTGACTTTAATAGATTATCTCTGAGCGAAATCTCTGTCTCCACTTTCCATCCTAAGTTTCAACAAGACAGCGGAAGAGAGGACCAGGACCAAGGCCATCTGGATTGCTGAAAAGCAAACATGTATTTCCAGGTTATTCCCTAGTTGAAAATTCTACCAGTTTGTCTTTTAGGGACTGAAATGAGGCTGCAAACAGAGCCAATGTAAGCTCCGTAAACATCACAGGATGATGGCCAAACACGCCACATGCTATCTCCAGGGTACTGAGAATGTACCCCTGTGGAGTCACAGCAACCAAAAATGTGTGTCGTTGTATCATTCAGCCTTTCACATACATCCCCACACTAGGGTTTTATGCCTCTTTTCTTCACTTTCTCTGCCTTAATTCTCTTCCCTCACCTTTTCAGCTTTCCTTAATTCAGAGCTGTATTTAATTCACAAAGTGCACATATTTAATTCACAAACTGCAGCAGAACTGGTCCCCTTCACAAAGCTGCCCCCCACACCAATCTGACACGGAACGTCCAATTTCAGTTGTTGGCTAAACCTCAGTGTATTCTGCTTCCTTCACCGTCTCCCCGAATGAAAGAAAGGGAAGTCTGAGCACTTACTCGTTGGTGAAAGCTTATGCGCATTAAAGAAAAGAGATTAGAGGAAAAAATAAGCCCTTTCCAATTCTCAAGACACAAAAGGTATCTAATCACAGAAATATAAAAAGGGAAAGCCCCAAAGAAGGAAGAAAAATTGGTGGGGGGGCAGGGGACTATTCAAAGTTCCCAATCTCTGAGAAAGGTAGAGTCTTCAAGAATCAGGTCTTTATTTTGAAATACCTCTCTTGGGTGGCATCGTGGTGGTGTCCTCTCAGAGTGTCTTAGCTGCCAGCTGACTTAATGACGACAGGCTGAAGGGACAAATGTTTCAGGTTTGGTCCAGCACATCCACACACTTCTGCCTGTCGCTGAAAGTGCTCCCTGGTGCCATTTCACAGTCTGAAACATAAGAAGGTACTAATTTCCTCGCCATTAAATTTTCATGAATGTTTAGTTTGCCATTTAGGGATGGAGTACTCAGGTCAAAGGGGTTGTATTTGGGGCTCATGTCTGAAATAAAACTAAACTGATCGTGTATTCAAAGCAAATCTAGCTTCAGCCCCGTGTGTATGAGCTAACCTGCCTTGTTTTGAATGCCTTCCATTTTAGCGCTTTATCAGAATTATAGATACCAAGGGCAGTGTGAGTGTTGGGCAATGCTCTTATTGACTCTTAACGGAGAAACCCTGACCACCAAGTGTACTTGGTAAATGAAATGAGGCAATAAACAAGGTGCTCCTACATCTGGAGTTCAGGTGAGTGCAAGGCTATGGAGCCTTCAACGTAGCCCCCAGCCTCCAATGTGGGGAAACCTGGAGACACTGTATTTATTTTCTCAACTTGTGGAGGATAAAATTGGCTGTAAGAGGAGTTGCAGGAGGAGTGCCTGGGTGGCTCAGTGGGTTAAAGCCTCTGCCTTCGGCTCAGGTCATGATCCCAGGGTCCTGGGATCGAGCCCCACATCGGGCTCTCTGCTCAGTGGGAAGCCTGCTTCCCCCTCTCTCTGCCTGCCTCTCTGCCTACTTGTGATCTCTGTGTGTCAAATAGATAAATAAAATCTTTAAAAAAAAAAAAAGAGGAGTTGCAGGACACAATTTTAGAACTTTTCTCTTTATCAAATCTTCTCACAGAAAGGTGGTCATCTTTGACTTTAAATGATAAAAAATGATAAACAAAAGAGATTTCTACCATTGAAAAGAAAAGAAGGGGCAGAAAGTGCTGTAATTTAATGTTGCAAAAGAGACTGCTTTTTTGAGAGCGAGGACACTGGCATTCTCTGGTTACTTCGGTGATAGCCACTGACCTTGGCAAGAGGAAGCAGTGTTTTGAAATGGATCCCCACGGCACATTCACCCTAGAGTAGAGTGCACACATCTGACCCTTTGAGCACATAAACATTAGTACATAGATTCTAGCCAAAGTAGTGTGTAGCTCACTCAAAATTGTGGCTTAAAACAAAGCTCCATTAGGATGATACTTGCCTAGTTTCTCCCTATTCAGACACTTAGGTCTTAACTGTAACAGTGAAAGAGGATAGAGCTGATATAAGAACTTATATTTAAAGATGCCCAGGGACGCCTGGGTGGCTCAGTCGATTAAGCCTCTGACTTTGGCTCAGGTCATGAGCTCAGAGTCCTGGGATGGAGCCCCGAATGGGGCTCTCTGCTCAGCAGGGAGTCTGCTTCTCCCTCTCCCCCTCCTTTCCACCCCACTTATGCTTGTGTTCTGTCTCTCTCTCTCTCTGAAATAAATAAAATCTTAAAGATTAATAAATAAATAAAAAAAAGATGCCCAGAGTGGTTCTTCAACCTGAGAATTTATAAAGACATCAAGAAATGTTATTGTAAATCACTGGACATATAACCTAGAGTGAGAATAATATGTAATTTAATTGCTATTAAATATGAATTTATACAAACACTATTCTAATAAAAACCATCACAAATTCATGAATAAAATAACAAAAATACTGTATCCACGAAATTGTGCAAAAAAGAATATTAAAAGAATATTAAAAGAAAAATATTAAAGACAGAAATTATCACATTAAAAATTGATGGATTCCACTGTTTTAAAATAAAAAAAATTCTATTCACCAAAGACGTTTCAAAGAAACTAAATTTATATCTCACACAGCACTTCATAAGAGTATAAAAAATACAGACTCTCTATCAACAAGAAGACATGAACACCAAAAGGGAAAAAAAATAACAGCAAAAGACTTAAACATTTCACATATGAAGATATAAAATGAAAAAGAAAAATAAAATAAAAATAAATAAAAACGAATAAAAATGTAAAATGTTATTCCACAGAAGAAAAGATATAGCCAACAGACATATGAAGAAAGGCCCAATCTCATCTTAGTGAAATACAAATCAAGGCCACTAACAGAGAGGGTATGTTGGTCCGAAACCTTGGAGTTCCTTGGGGTGAACTTGAAACAGGCCCGGTCCAGGGAGGGTTGGTGGGAGAGATGGAAGAAAGAGGCAGGGCACTGAAGATGGGTACATGGCAAGTTTTTTGTTTTGTTTTGAAAAAAAATTTTTTAAGGTTCTGTTTATTTGAGAGAGAAATCGAGCATGAGCTAGGGTAGCGGTGGGAGAGGAGGAGCAGAGAGAGAGGGAGAAGCAGGCTCCCCACTGAGCAGGGAGCCCAACTCAGGGCTGGATCCCAGGACCCCGAGATCATGACCTGAGTCAAAGACAGATACTTAAGCCACTCAGCCACCCATGCATCCCGGTAGGTGGCAATTTTACAAAAACAAGGTAATGTACTCACGAGGCTTGTCTTGGGCAACCTCAAGACAAGTAAATCTCTGCGCATGACCACCAAAGTCTTCGCAGTTCATACAGAGGCCTTAATGGGGTTCAAATGGTCTCAACAACGCATTGCTCTCTCGAGACTGTGTCCTTGAAAACAGTTCCAGCCGCCATGGCGGGCAGAGCATACAGGGCAAAAATAGGGGAAGGGGGCGGGGCCTCCAATTGCCCTGGGGCCAGCTTGAGGGTCTTCCAGCAGTCTTGACCTCTGGATGACCTCCTCCAACACTCCACCCCTCTTGACTGGCTCTCGGGATCTTACAGATTTCCCCTCTTTCACAACGAGCCCCCATGCTCAGCTGGGGCTTCATTAGCTTGGAGGTGACTCATTACACCTGCAGGCAGATACCACTGATGAAGATACACAGATGAAGGTAATGATTCCCAAAGTAAGTAAGTAAGCCCTGTGATCCAAAGCACTGATTTATTAAGTCTGCGCTAGGCTGAGGGTCAGATCATTTGGGGTGCTTGTTTGTATCCTCATGTGCTTTGATAAAGATGATACCTGAGCAGACTCCTCAGCTATGAACACACAACATTTTGCTGAGATGATGGCCCGGGTGTTTTCTTGTGAGGCGGTAATGATGACCAAGGCCGTCCTATTTCGGAGGACAGCTTTTCTCCCTAGAGACATTTCAGGGTTCGGTAAGGATGGGCTCTGTCAGCTACCACATCAGGCTTGTGGGGTGAGTTTAGTAAGGGCTGCTGTCTGTGCTATCCTGTCCTCCCAGTCAATACAGGGAAGAAAGATGGTGGCCAGGTGATTGTACCATTGGAACAACAGTACAATCCCCCGAGGAGAAGGAATTGGCAACTCTTGTTATTGTCTTGTTATTGTCAGGGTGCAGCAACCCACGCGCCTCGATGGAAACCATGTCCAGAGATCTGTGCTCCACAACCACTGGGACCCACCTGGGCTCACCCGATAAATACCTGAGCAGCGTGACCGGTCACCACCCACCCAGCCCATATCCTTTAATGTGACGGAATGACTGCGTGATTCTGGGGAAATCCATCCTGTCTTCCTGGTACAACTGGGCTGGTTCTGTTTAGAGCAGTTTCTTCTGTTCTCAACACAGGAGCACATGAGTGCGCAAATGTTCGATACCCGGGGTAAGCCACCTGAACCTATCCCAAATTTGAATGTCGCCACCCACTGCTCTAATAGTGGTATGTTTAGGACCCTCTGGTGAGCCAAAAAAAAAAGAAAAAAAAAACTATCCCCAATGTTATTAATAGTGTGTACCACAAACCAGATGTCTGGGTCAGTATCAATAATATCATGAATTAGAGTGCCAATCCTAGTGCCAATTCTCCTTTAATGTGCTGCTTTAGTGCCTTCCAATCCCCAGCCTGGCAGGGAGATACCCACCAGGGCTGTCCTGCAGAGTTACAGAGGGACACCTGCCCACATGTCCAGCAGTTAGACCGATTCCTTTGTCAGGCATACAAATGGGTCCACAGTAGAAAGATATTTCTGTCATAAGCCTGTGACTAGATACCACAGGAGCCACAGAAGTTTAAAGTCAAAAAGACAGATACTCAGTACGAACTCGTATGGGAAGTCTTTCCCTTCTATAGGAATTACCCTTGTAGTCTGATTTAGAGGTTAATGTGGCTTGCAGCTTTAGGAACTTAACCTGGTTGTGCACACCATGCGTGTTGGTCACAGGAGGCAGCACTGTCAGGCATAAGGAGATGGACTGGGGGTGGACTATGCTAGACTAGGACTCCCATATTTCCCCCTCCTTCAAAGGTGCATGATTGCCTTACAGATAGGGTGCGTGTCAAAGGGTCCAGCTTACAGCAGGACAATGGGCTCTGGTAGAAACTGAGCAATTCCTCCTCACTCAGGGATACAAAGTAACTCACCCACCCAGGTGGGATGTCCTCTTGCACATTCCAGGAGAAAACTTCTCTCCCTGGCACGAAGGGGCGTGGTGTTTTCAGCGGTGTGGTGTGTTGATCCACAGCTGAGCGTCGGGGCCAGGACTGTCTCTTGCAATGTCCATACACTTAGAATGTGTGTTTCAGCAGGTGATTTACTTTCGTTTGGCCAGCCAATGTGGTTTTACCTATTAGTAATTTAATCTGCTGCTTTACCATGACTTCCTTGATAGCAAACCTGCCGCCTGTGGTTATAGGGGCAATGGAATCTTTGTTCAATGTCATGTTCTTTTGCCCAGTCTTGACATCATGAACCTTATCACTGTCTATTCAGCAAGGGTATCCATACACGGGACTCAATTTCTCTAATCCGTTAATGGTGGCAGCCTGGCTTGCATGGCAAAGGGGGAAGCTGGGGTTGGGCCAGGTAAGTCGTACCCAGACACCAAGGCATATTTAGGACCCTCCCTGGGAGGCCCGGGGCCAATATTATCAATTTGCCAATCCCTCGCTGGTTGAGAACTCCAGTGGGTGACCCCCAGACTCCTATGGTAGTGGCCTTGGGCACTGTTCAGATCACACAGGACATGCTGTTTGTTACTGCACTGGCCAAGGCACTGTACTTCAAGGATCATGAGGCATCTTGGCAATGTGCCATCCCACCTGGGCACACTCCAGTGGCTACTCTTACCGTGCACCCCATCTGCTGTATCTACTGAAGGGTTAGTTACAAGGGCTTATGCCTAAACTAAGGCATGGGCTGCCTGATTGCCAGGGTGTGTCAATGCCTTATAAGCCAGAATATGGAAAAGTAAGGACTGCCTCAGGCTCTCGCAGGCAAACCCAATGTCTTTCCACGTTTCCTGTCCCTATGAGGACTTACTCATGATCATATACCCCTTGTCCAAGCCATAAGGTTAATCCTTTTCAATAGCCTAACTCTGAGGGGAGAGGGTTAATGACCGGTGTGCCGGAGTAGTCCTCACCAGCCAAACTTCTCAGAGCCCAGCCTATTGGCTGCTGCGATTCATTTCTACTTCCATCCAGATGGTGTCAGTGTTGGGCTGAATAGTGACTACAGTGCCTGTGGGTGGTTTGCCCCACTAGACTGCCTGTACACCTGGCTTCAGGAGGAATTTCCCTCCTTGTCTCTCTGCAGGGGCCACCAAAGGAATAGAAGGGCATTCGGAGGTTCTACATACTCAGCTGGGCCCAGCAGGGCCCGAGTTTCTAGAGACAGTGGCCTGGTGGGCAGAGTGACCCCGCTGCACACAGCCTTGCACTTAACCAAAGTGGGAGTCTGAGCCACAGCAGAGGGTCAGTGGAACATACTCTCAGCCCATCTGTTGAGAGGAAGAAAGCTCTTCCCATGACTTGCTGTAATTCCAGGAGAGGCTTTACCTGGAGGAGCGCTGTAGATAGGGCTAGGAGCTGTGGTCTGTGAGATAATCAGGCTTCTGCCCCTTCCAAAGCTGGGACCAAAATCCCAGAGGCACTCTCTCCTTCTGTTGTCTCTGCCACAGTGCCTTCTGGAGTCAGAAATGCAATGTGGGGCACAGCTGTTTGATGGGGTCATCACCCTGTTTAATTTCTTGGTAGTCCACAGTCAATGGCCACGAGCCATATGCCTTATTTTACCAGCTGTCCTGGGCTACTGAAAACACTATGGGCAGGGCATACAATACCTATTCAGTGCCATTCTCAGATAGTTTCTCCTATTCCCTTAGGCCCCCAGGCAATTTATATTGCTTGCCAGCTACCCCTCTTGGCTGGAGTTCCCAGTTGGTGTTTTCCCCTCAGTACTGGTTTGATTACTCTGACCCAAAGGCAAATTCACTGATAAAAGTTTGCAGAGTTTGACTGTAGGTTGGCAATGCTACAATATGTTCTCTGGTACTGGAGAGAGAAAAATATTGTATTCTCATGGGGGAGAACACCCAGGTTGCAGTGCCAAATGGACCTTCCGGACTATATCTGTTTGCCTTGTCTCTGAAGGCCCTGATCAGACCACATTCACTGTAGGAATGAAAGCCAAGATACCCCAGTCCATCCCCCAGTACCTGGTATGCCCATCCTGAAGCCAGTTGTAAGACAAGACACTTATGATATTGGGAGTCCATTGCTGATCTTGGGGAAACTGACAAATCCCAGGGATGGGTAGAGGCTGTGGGAGAGACCTAAGACTGACAAGGAACTTGAGAAGCCAATAGGTTATCGAAAGCATCTGGAAAAGAAGAGAGAAATCAGAAATAAATCCACCCACATATGGTCAAAGGATTTTCAAGAAAGGTACAAAGACAATTTAGTGGCGAAAGAAGAGTCTTTTCAATAAATGATGTTGGAACAATTGGACATACATTGAAATAAGAATTTCAATGCATCCTATACCTTATACAAAAAGTAACTCAAAATGGACCATAGACCTAGTGTAAAACCTAAAAATATAAAAAAGTCTAGAGAAAAAAAATAGAAGACTATGGATTAGGCAGAATTTTTTTTGAGGTAACACCAAATGTTCAATCCATAAAAGAACAGATTTATAAGTTGGACTAAGGAGGAGGAAGGGAAGGAGGGAGGGAGGGAGGGAAAATGTCTTTTAAAATTAGATAAAAACCACCCAAATACACAAAACAACATGGATAAACCTCAAGTGATTCATGCTAAGTAAAAGGAGCCTGTCTTCAAAGTCTACATGCTATCAATTCCATTTCTATGACATTCTGGAAAAGACAAAACTATAAAGACAGAAAATGTACCAGTAGTTCAAGAGCTGGAGAAACTGACCACAAAGAGGCAGAAGGAACTTTTGGGGATGATGGAACTGTCCTATATCTTGCTTGTGGTGGTTGTTACACAAATATGTTTGTCAAAACTTAGAACTATACACATAAAAGAGTGAATTTAATTACATATGAATCATATCTCAATAAATTTGACCAAAAACAAAAATTAGAAACTGACATCTCCTGGGTCAGCTTTGGGGCACGGTTCTTTTTCTCTGCCCGTACTGAGTCTTTTTAAAAATGAAATTAATGGGCAATAGAAAAAGAGCATCTCGTATGATTTTTTAGATTTCTAACTTTTCTTTGAGAAGACTTGACAACACTGTGACCACATCTCACATGGCAATAATCTTCTGTGG